AAACGTCGTTAGATTGCTCGTTGATTTGAATCTTAATCATCGTCGTCGTCGTCATCATCATTTATCTTTATCGACCGCGATCTATCCACTGTTGGACGAAGGAATCCCCCAAGCCGTCGCCATCCATCACTGTCGCGCGGAGGCAACAATAACGCCTCGCACCTGCACGCGAGCTGATCTTGTTTGCTCCATCTCCGCGGTGGACGTGGCCCCTGGGGTGCATTCCGTCATTCGTGCCCACCCCCATCATCATAGTCCCCAACCCCAGGCCGTCGTTCCCATCGAGTTGAGGTGTTCTGCCCCAGATAAATCGGTCAGTGTGATGTCTCTTCGCTCGCCATGCGCTCCGTGATCAATATATGCGTTCGTGCGTTAGGTAGCTACTTAAAGCCCATCATGGGCTGCTGTGGAGCAACGCGTGGAGCACAGAAACAAACGGACCTAAAGTCCACCCATCACAAATGGTCTCTCCGTCCCGTTCGCCGATGGATGTTCCAGACGACCGTCTCGTCGCAGCGATTGTTTAAGGGCGGCAAACTTCTGGACCCGGGCTTCAACCCGTGCGGGTGCCATCAGCGCAGTCGGGTCTGTCGGAGCGACACTCTTACATTGCCAGATGTCACGAGGCAGAAACCATCGACTCAAAGCTACCCGGTGTTTTGGTTGAGCTCATTTGTGGCGTCGATGCCAATTTGCTCGTCAACACCGGCGCGTGCGGTCGCGATGGAGACGCGTCAAAATAAACACGGGGCCGCCCGCGATTCATTTCAGCTGACGATGCCGATGTGCGTCGGCGACTTTTTTTCCCGATCTCCCGGCGACAAACGGCGCGACCCGCAACGTCCGACCCCCTCCTCTGGCATCCCCCGTTTGGGGTCAAGAGGAGAGCGAAGCCCTGAGCCGCTGAGTACATCTCAGTCTCCATTACTGTGGAGTAATGAGCTAATACCCCCCCCCCCCCACCTCCGCCTCCCCTTTTGGTATTGTCCTATGGTTTGTAAACACTTCAAGTGGTAAACTTCCCCAGGTTTGATCTTTTAAGCCGCATTAGAGCCGAGACGCCCGGTCACCTCGAGTGTTTGCTCTGCTCTGCAAACCCCCCCCCACCTGCTCGGGACAAACACACACGCGCACGCACACACACCGACACACACGCGCGCACGTACGCACGCGCGCGTACGTACGCACGCACACCGACACACACACACGCGCGCACGTACGCACACACACCGACACACACGCGCGCACGTACGCACACACACACACCGACACACACGTGCGACGGATCGGCTCACCCCTTCGCCCCCCCCGTTGAAGAGGTTCATTTTTTTGCTGTTTGCTTTGCGTGATCCCTTTATTTTGCTCCAATCGCGGCACAAAGCGGGAGCACGATAACATAACAATAACACAAGCACGTGTCGTCACTTCTCTGAAGCTGCAGAGTCTTTTTGAGCACCTGTCACGAGGCGATTAGACCTGGCTGGCTGGCTGCCCCCCCCACCCCCCCGTTCGTGCGCTCGACAAAGGCACTCGGAAGTCAATAGTTTTGCTCAGGAAGCCCATCGCTATTTGCGGCGCTCTTGTCCGAACGTCGGTGACGCCGCCATCCGTCCGCAGAGTTTATCTTCGTGACAAACGGCCGTTTCTGTAATGCCGGCAGCGTGCGTGCGCGCGCGTGCGGTCGACTCAGCCTCATGTAAGCATCGCTACTGGGGAGACAAAGGCGGTCGGGTGTGGTGCCGGCCACCCACCGACCTCGTGTACCGTCTCCGGCATTCGTAGGTGCTGGCTAACAGCACTCGCCCCAACGGTCTGTCAAAGGCTATACGGGGGATCTTTGTCTTTGTGTGTGTGTCCGCGCGCGCGAAGCCATGAGCTTCATGAGATCACGCGCGGGTCTCGGCTAACAAAGTTACAAACACGAGCGGCGCAAATTCAAACATCGCCACGACGACGCCATTAGAAGCGGCTTGTTTTTTTTTTGAAATGAGCAAATTTTGTGCAAGGCCGATAGAATGCAAGGGGGAGGGGGGGGGGGTTTGTCCTTTAATGGTCGGGGCCTAATTTCATCCCAAAGTGCAATAAGTCGGCCCGCAATAAAAACAAAATAAGATCGGCCGAGCGCGAGGAATCGATTGCGAGGATGGAGAGTGGCAGCTGTCTAATGAGTGTTTGTCTTGGCCACCGCGATGCCACTCCTGCCCCCACCCCGCCAGCCTGTCGTGACCCCCCAGGGGACCAACCTGCATCTCATTTCGCCCTCCCCCCCCCCGGTTTTCCCGACCGCCCCCCCTACCACCGCTCAACCTCGGTGTGAACCGGAGGAGCCCCTTCCGCCGCCTCGTCACTGTGAAAGGCCGGTAAACAAAACGCCAAAAAAAAAACCCACCCCCGGCTGATGAGAAAGGGGAGATAATGAAGAAAATGAAGCTGTTCGAGAGATCCTTTCCAGAAGGCCACGCCACCGCCGCCCGCCTGCCGTTCACAAGGAGAAGTGTTTCTGACACTCGTGGTGGGGGGGGGGGGGGGGGCGGTGGGGGGGGTCACTCATCGCGTGCCTCTGGGTCGACCACAATTAGACGGAATCGTTCGGCCGCTCAACCGGAGGCTGAACCGCGCCCTCCCGATTGTTGTTTTTTTCAGCCCGACTGTTCTCGGCAACATGGATGCTGTGTTTCGTTTTCAGGGCGCGAGCATCCGTGGAAGGTGCCAACGTCTGTATTATTTTGGTTATTTGGCTGCGATGAGTGTTTTGACGCGTGATAAAAGCCACTTCCTCGAGCCGTCATTTGTGGCCAGGTTGCTTCTGAAAAAGATGCTAATAGCTCAGTGGGCCCTTGCCTGGTAATATATATAAAAAAGCAAACATAGTTTATTTTTTATTTGTATATATATTTTAAGTGATTTGTTTACCTTTCCTATACTTTGCACTCCCGTCATGTTTGTTTTTCATCGCTTGTTGTTGTAACTTTCAGCCCTGCCCCTACCGGACATCTGTGAAAAAGAGCTTCACAGCTGATCGGATTCCTCCAGTGTACATAAATATTCGGATTCTGTTTCAACTTAACTGCACGCTTGACTATTTCAATCAGTGCGCGGGCGAAATAGTTGGCGACACGTTCATGAAATGCCCACGGATTGCGTCTCGTTTTATTTTTATTTTCGTTTCAAACCAAAAACGCTCCGAGTGATCTTCGACAGCCCATCGAGAACGACCACAGCTGAGACACTGGCGAGCACCCAGGACTGACTCTCAAATCTGGACGCGACGAGCAATCGCTGACGACGCCAATAGCGGACACGTGGAGGTTACGAGCGATGAAGCTCGCACGATACAATCGGCATATTACTGAGAGTGAGTGCGCATCGGTGGCGCCCCGGTGATATCTGAACCGGTCTTACCTCCTTCTCCACCCCCACCCCCCACCCCCCCCCACCCCACTTCATGAGCCTGCACTGACCAGCGTGGTGAAGTATGGTAAATAAAACCTCGTGAATTGGGTGGAGTGGGGGAGGCCTTTATCCATTGGTTGATGGTCCAGGACTGCAACGTTTTTATTTTCATTTCAAGTGTGCGATTATAGTTCTACCTAACTCAAACCGCCTACCAGTTATACTCCTGTAACATTGGACAATACGTTTCTAAGGGACCCCAGTATAATTGTTAAACTCTCGCAGGCTACTTTGCCTCAGAGTGACTATTGTACGACGGTCATCTTTGTCCACGCCCTGTTTAGCGTTTCGGGGTTTGACATGCCCTCTCGCATCAGACTTCTGACACACACGGAAACCAGGCGGTAACCTACGGGCGTTACCTTTCAACAGGTGGTAATGTTACCCGAGATTTGTTAACATCTCATGCACAGCTCTCTCTGGCGTGTGCTAATAAAACCGCTCCGAGCCGCGTAACCCGGGTGAACCGGCGAGATAAGGGGGGCTTCTTTTGGGGCAATTATTCGGATTCTGGCCTTGTAACCAGTGTCTGGGTCGGTGCCAGATAAGGCTGAAAAACTCCATAATTCTCCAGATGCGTCTCCTCACGCTGTGATACAGCAAATAAAACGGGATAAAAAATGAATGAGAGCAGAAGAGAAATCAATTGACCCCAGGCTGTGGATGGGGCCAGAAGGCTGATAAAGTTGTGGGGCTCGGGAATGTTTGTCTATCTGTGGCCTGCAGATAAAGGGCTCTGTAAATGAAACATCTCAGATAAATACGGCGGGGGGTTAACTGTAAATGAAAGGGCCACCGTGTCATTTCTGTGAGGCGAAGCCTTGGATGGAATTATCGCAGATTGCTGTAATTACATTTTAGTGGGGGAAAAAAAAAAACGTTTAATCTTTCCAAAAACCTTCCACCTCAATACGAGGAGTCGGTGCTATTAACCCTGTGAGATAATTGCAAAAAAAAAAGGGGGCTTTAGTGATTTGGGTCAAAATTTGAATTATAAAGAAGAAGCTGAATACAAATGTGCGGCTTTTGTTGCGCTTAATCTGTTCCAAAGAGACGGGGAAATTCTCATTCTCCTCCTCCGAGCGCACGCGCGCTCGCACGTGCGCTGCCAGTCGGGAGTGATGTATCAATATGTTTACACCGTTGATTAAATACATCGCCGTACAATCTGCACCCTCGTGTGAATAGAAAGTATCTCTTGGTCGTCGCAGAATTACACTAACAGGCGGCATCTGGTTCAAACAAATCGCGAAGACCAGTGCAGGCCTATGGTCTGAACGATACGCGAGGTGATGATGGGGAGCCGAGTTAGGTCGGTTATTGAAGGCGCACCGGAATAAAAATTATGACACACACACACACCTGACGGATTCTCAGACGTACCCCAACATTTCACTTTTAAAATATAGAGGCGGAACAAAACGCGTCATAATCTGGATAACACAGTAATATAATGTGGTAATACATCTAATAATGTTTTTTTTCTCCCCGTGGCAGTAATATAAATACAGCACAGCGAAATAAAGTTGTGTGTAATTGCTCCTCACCAGTTGTTGACTTGCAGGATGGTGAGCCCCGTGTCCTGCGCCAGTTGCTTCTTCTGCTCCTCCGAAGGGTATGGGTGCTGCGGAAACGACATAAATCATCAGCCTTAGGACCATCACCGTCATCATCATCACCATCATCGTCATCATCACCATCGTAGTCGTCATCATCATCACCATCATGGTCGTCGTCATCATCGTCATCATCACCATCAGCGTCATCATCGTCACAGTGAGTTTCTGCTCAAACGAGCATTGAGGCACCTTCTCTCGACAGCCCTGAGCCAGCGGCGGAAATTCAACATTCCTATTTATTGCATAATTATGATCACTGTTAACTTCCACACAAAGTGGTACATATTTTGACCACCCCCGGAGGGAGAGATGATGGGCCCGAGTCAACTCTGATTCAGGACTTGAACTCCGCAACCTTCTGATTTGCGAGCCGCTCGCTCTCCCCAACGGATTTACCGTTGTCAGCCGTGGTCAATCCACTGCTAGATGAAGGCCTTGCCACACGTGCCAATGTTACTGAATGACGTCATAATCGCAAGGTAAAACGCACACAGCACACATTGTAAGCAATATTTTAGTGTGGTTTTAATTGCATTAATTACAATTAATTATTACGGTAATATAATTGCACGTATATAACAGTTAGGTTTAGTAACGGTCAAATATCTTTAGGATTACCACACCATTAAAATAATTTTAATGATCTGTACTTGGTTATGAAATAGAGCACACACGCACGCACAGACGCATGTCTAAAGCGCATATATATAACATCTTTAGCCAAAGCAGACTCTTCTCTTTAATTAGCGGGTCAGTGATTGATGATGGGAAAGGCTGTAAATGAGTACAGGCGGAGAGTATGAATAAATCAGGCCGGTTGCCGGGGCTGGAATTTTCAGAAATACTCCAGAGGACCATTTTGTGCGTTAATTGCGAAAAAAAAAGCCAGAGTGTCTTTGGCTGGAAGAATGGCCATTCCGTCGCTATTATTTTTGCTAATGAAAACCTGGGGACTTAGGTGAGCATCCTCCGGTGTCTTTTCGCTCGCAATTAAAGACAATTTGAAAAAAAATTAAACTTTTTCTTTAGGGGTCCACGACACACAAAGTTCTATTTAGGCAAAATGCACTTAAATTTTTTTATCATTAAAACAAAGGCGCTTGTTCGGCGTGTGTCTTCGTTTACTTCGGGAAGGGTCGCCGGGTGTAAAAGTTTTTGTGTGTGTGGGGCGGGGGTGGGTTGGTGGGTTGGACGATTCGGAAGAAAGTCAATCGAGTCGCCGCAGGAACCGGCACCCCGTGGCTGCACCAGAGGCGCCCTCCAATTCAGCGACGCAACACGCGACCGCGATGTGCACCGCACGCACGCGCCCGCCCGCCGCTGTATTTGCACAAGGGCAGCTGCCATTGTGATTACGCTCTCACAACAGATATTCCGCAATGTCCTACGCAGGCGGAAATTTTCATCTCGAGCAAGAAGAAACCGTTCGTAATAATAAGTAATAGTAATAATATGTAAAATGGTAAATGTGCAGCCCTGTAATGTCTTGCTCACGCCCACTGCTGGCGGTAGGGACTCCACGAGAGGGAGATCTGGAGAACGCCTTTCAAGCGAAATTTGGCCTACTCTTCCACACTGGGCAAACACAACATCCCCTCCCCCTCCAGAAGAGGTGGGAGTACCCGCACTTTACCCCCCATGCACGCGACCTCGACTGACTACGGTGCACACACTGATAGCGCTGCGTGGACAGAGGCGTGGGGCTGGTGGATTTAAGAAACTCGGCTGTGCTGGGAGATCCAACCGAACTGGCAGACCTCTGGATAGCGCTCCCAGCGTGCTCACCGTTACTCTGCAGTGGCAGCATCCCAATAATAACGATAATAATGACAATTTCAAAATATTTTTTTTTATTTTACCAGGCAAGGCCTACTGAGCTATGTAGCTCGTTTTCACAATGTGACCTGTCCACAAATCGTAGCTTAAACGAAGTGGCTTTTCACGTGGAAATGTATAGCAGTCAAATACTCGAAACGCATGTTGATTCTAAATATGGAGGGGGGAAACTGGAGAATAATCCACGCGACCACGGGGAGAACATGCAAAATCGAAATATACAGGCATCCCCAGGGTTGGGATAGAACCCACGACCTCCTGCATACCAGGCGAAGTAGTTAACGTCTCGCCACCGCAGTGCCACGACGATGATGAAATTAATATAAAAAGAAAATACTTAGCAGGAATATCATCACTGACTGCCATTCAGGGACTCTGGTCTTCGCGTTATGTGCCGTGTGCTCGCACACGCAGAGTGATAATAATAATAATCCCACACGGGCGATCGCGACCTTCCAGCGGCGAGCGGCCTCGTGGCTTCGCGCCAGCGGCCGAGCGCCACGGTTTCGCCGTGCCACGTCATCATCAGAGCCGGGGGCCGTGTTTACCAACACCGCGGTGGCAACGGGCCACTGCTGCGACCGATGGCGTTTTACGCGCCGGCCGGGGCGATCCTCGGATGGATAACGGTTTGCAAATGAATAATGCCGCTGCATTGCTAGTGAAAGAAGTTTTTACTCGTGGCGGGGTGAAATAAGTTGGGGGTCGCCGGGTGGTAGCGTAATCGTAACACGTGTGCCTCACTGCAAGAAGGACCTGGGTTTGATATCAAGACTCGGGAGGCATTCTTTGTGCAGTTTGTATGTTCTCCCCCTGCTCTGCGTGGATTTCCTCTGGGGTTTTTTTCTTTACGTTTTTCCTCCCATATGACGAAGTGGGGGGGCTTTGGCAGAGCACATTAGAAGGAGACAATGGCCGGGCAGTCGAGAATAACGACGGAATGGCGGGCAAAATGAGAGACCTCTCACATGGGGACATCTCCTATGGAGACGGAGCAATAAAATCAGCTCATATTTGGGTTCTGCATGGATCGTTGCATTGTAGGACAATGTGGGGTGGGGCTTCGGGGGACCGCAATCTAGCAGTGGATTGACCATGGCGGATGATGATGTTTTAATTAAAATCCAGCTGAACCTTTAACAAATTATCCTAAGATGCTGAAAAATATATATTTTTTACCTACAAAAACTGGAATGCTATAACTTTTCATGAATAAAATTAAGGTTAAAAAAGTGCAGAGGAATGTATTTAATACCGCGGTACAAATTGATATTTTAAAAGTCTCGAGGAAATTAAGAGGTGCAATTTAGACAATCAAGTCATGGTGTGATTATTACAAAATGCAAACATCAATGGACTCGTGATTCAAAGTTAGTTTCTGTTTGGGTTCGATAATGTAGCTACAATTTTACTGTTTTTGAGTATAACCGCCCACCACCCGACAGAGCCAGAGTGTTAAAAAGTAGCATTATACCCGTGCGCTCTAATGCAACAAGAAAGCACACAAATAAAATTAATCAACTTATTCAGGTCTCCGATTGGCTTCAAAAATCACCTTACGGAAATTAAAGAAATTAATTAACTAACTCATATTTTACAGCCAAAGCGAACGCAGCATTGAGTTGGACCCACATCAAGCAAAACAATCATAAGTCGAATAAAAACGTGAAAAACAAAAACAAGAAAAAGTATTTTTGGGTTATTGCTCCCAAAATGCGATGCGATTATTTATTTATTTTGCCAATAAAAAAAACTATCCTGCATTTAAGGCCCAGTGGCCTCCACCACCCCATATCTGGGCAAACGTTGGGCAGATTTTCAGGTCTAACAAATCAAGCTGAGTTATTGGGCAGAGCTAATTCACAGCCAGGAACTCTGTTCCAGCTTCTAATATTTTTTTTTTAGGGAGGGAAAAGGCTCTGTAGAAATTCCCCATTTATCATTCAAAGTGCCCTCATGGAGTGCTAGACATGTGGGCCTCCGCCGGTCTTTTCAAGACTCCTGAACGCACGTACACGTGCATAGACCGACCCAAAAAAGCAAAGACAAAGATCCCCGTTATAAGCTGAACAGTCTGTTTGGGCAAGTGCTGTTAAGCGAGCTACCTATGAAGGCCGGCACGGTACACGAGGGGGTGGGTGGCCAGCACCACGCCCGGCCGCCTTCGTCTCCCTAGTGGAGATATTTACACACCGCACCAGGTATTCATTTTAGGCTGAGTCGACTTAGGGGATGCCCAGGACCGGTTCAGATATTTGTCACTGATGTTGGCCGTGAGCGGTAATTGAACTCGGGTCCCTCGTAATCTAGGGCAGTGCACTAACCACTACACTACTACTTAAATGCACATGTACGTTACACTCACACACACACACTCAACAATCACATTAACACACAGGTACATACAACTCACGTGCACACACACGCTAAACATTCACATAAACGCACGCATGCAACAGACATTTGACTGCAACACACGCGTGTAGATTGTTGTTTCGGTTGGTCATGCCTATTCAGCAAAAATGTGTGAGGTGTGTGTGTGTGTGCACACGTGTGTGCGCTGTTGCCAGAGCGAAACAAGAAAAGTGCATCTATTGACAAAACACTAGCTTACAAAGCAATCTGAAGCACAGTTGTTAACGTGTTAAAAGTTGCACATTGGCATGTTTATAGCAAATAAATAAATAACCGGCCAAACGCGCCGCCACTGCCGCACAGCTGCTGCCAAGCGCTACTCCTGCTAATGGCGATTAATTAAACGGGGGCGGTGGTGGGGGGGGGGGAACGATGTTTCCTCCATGCGGTCAAGGGGCCGAAATTCGCCGATACGTCAACGACCGCCGATGGTCGCCGCCGGGGCTGACGAGCGCGAAGTGGGTCCGCAGCGTCGATCCTCGCGGCCGCTCCTTGCGTCGCCGACATCGGGAGGGGGAGGTGGCCGAGTTTTCGGCACCTTCACCGCGTCGCGGTCGTCAAAGCGCGAGCTCGATCGTCGTCCGGCAAGAGAACCACGGGGGCAGCGAGTTCTTCCCAACGGTTTACTGTTCTTCCGCTAGATCTTATTCACTGCCAGTGGCCTGCAAACTCACTTCAATATCACTACACCGCAGCCTGGAGTCACCCGCAAATAACTGAATTGGGATCGTGCATAGCAATCATTGCCTCCTAC